CGAGTGGTGCGGTTAGGTCCGGGCTATTATCTGCGGGTTCCCCCTCCCATGCTACGGATGGCTTGAACAGTCTTTTCTAAAGAGATGTTGGGGGGACTGCATCGCGTTTTGCTCCAATGCGTGCCAGGACATCCGCTGCCTGATTGTTTTCTCGGGCTATATGATGAAACTCCAGCCCTTCGAACCGAGCTGACATTTTTAGGACGGCGTTGCGGTAAGCTGCCATTTTTGGATCCTTGGCGTCGAAGTCTCCATTTATTTGGGATATCGCGAGGTTCGAATCCCCGCGTACCTCTAGGCGTTGAATGCCCATGGATACTGCCATCCGGAGACCATGTAGGAGGGCCTCATATTCGGCTGCATTGTTGGAGTCCGTGTACATGATCTGGAGCACATATTGAACCGTGTCTCCTGTGGGGGACGTCAAGACGATGCCAACCCCTAGTCCGGCCAACATTTTGGAGCCATCGAAATGCATGATCCAGTTTGAATATGTGCCGTACTCTTTAGGGAGCTCGGCCTCCGTCCATTCTGCGACGAAGTCGGCCAAAACTTGCGATTTAATAGCTCGCCGTGGCTTATAGGTTATATCGAACGGGAGGAGCTCGATGGCCGATTTTGCGATCCGGCCCGTTGTGTCGCGGTTGTTGATAATATCGTTGAGTGGTACTTCCGAGGCTACTGTTATGGAACACTCTTGAAAGTAGTGTCGTAGCTTCCGGGATGCCATGAATACCGCGTATGCAATCTTTTGATAATGTGGGTACCGTGATTTGCATGGAGTGAGGACAGTGGACACGTAATAGACCGGCCTTTGAAGGGGGAATTTGTGTCCGTCCGTTTCCCGCTCGACGACGAGCACTGCGCTGACAACTTGATGGGTTGCTGCAATGTACAATAGCATTGGTTCGCCGGTGTTTGGCGCGGCCAGGACTGGGTTTGTTGCCAATATGGCTTTTATTTCATCGAGTCCGGTCGTGGCCGCATCCGTCCACTCGAAGTGTTCGGTGCGCCGAAGGAGGCGATAAAGGGGCAGTGCCTTTTCTCCCAAGCGGGAGATAAAGCGGCTTAGAGCCGCCACGCATCCGGTTAATTTTTTTATTTGTTTGAGGTCCTTTGGGATATCCAATTGCGACAAGGCTTGGATCTTGGCTGGATTTGCTTCAATTCCTCTACCGGATACAATAAAGCCCAAGAGCTTTCCGGCTAGAACGCCGAAAACGCATTTTTCCGGGTTGAGCTTGATGTCGTATTTTTGGAGGTTATCGAATGTTAGCCTCAAGTCGTCTACTAGAGATTCGACATGTCTTGTTTTGACAACCACATCATCCACGTACGCCTCCACTGTCTTGCCGATCTGGTTTGCCAGACATGTCTGAATCATGCGCTGATATGTCGCGCCGGCGTTTTTCAGCCCGAAGGGCATTGTGTTGAAGCAGAATGGGACGTATGGTGTGATGAATGCCGTTGCGGCTTGGTCTGATTCTGCCATCTTGATTTCATGGTAACCGGCGTATGCGTCGAGGAAACACAACGAATCGTGTCCTGCGGTGGCATCGATAATCTGATCGATACGGGGGAGAGGGAAGGGATCCTTTGGGCAAGCCTTATTAAGGTCTTTAAAATCAACACATAGGCGCCAGGATTTGTCCTTCTTTGGTACCATCACCAGGTTTGCTAGCCAGTCCGGATGTTTTATGTCTCTAATGAATCCGGCCTCCAGTAGCTTGGCTAGCTCCTCTCCTATGGCCTGTCTCTTGGGTTCGGAAAAACGCCGAAGGGCTTGTTTGACAGGTTTGAATCCTTTTAGGATATTTAAGTTGTGTTCGGCCAGCCTGCGTGGGATTCCTGGCATGTCTGAAGGGTGCCAGGCGAAGATGTCCCAATTTTCATGTAGAAATTCTCACAGTGCGGCGTCCATATCAGGGTTTAATTGTGCCCCGATGGAAGCTGTTTTATTGGGTCTGTTGGATGGACCTGGAATTTGACTATTTCGTCTGCTGGCTTAAAGGATGTGGACTTAGATCTCTTGTCGAGTATCACATCATCCCTGTTAACCGTGGAGCGCAGCGCAGTCAGTTCATCAGCCGCTAAGGCTTCGGATAGTGCCTCAAGGGCCAATGCGGTTGTCTTGTTTTCGACGCGGAGTGCTATGTCCAGATCACTAGCGTGAGTGATAATTCCGTTCGGCCCGGGCATCTTGAGCTTCATGTACCCGTAATGGGGTATTGCTTGGAAGATTGTAAATGCTTCCCGCCCTAGTAGGGCGTGATATCCGCTACTGAACGGGGCCACCTGAAACGTGACCTCTTCGGACCTGTAATTATCCACGTGCCGAACACCACATCTAGTGTGATTTTTCCTGTGCAGCGCGCTTCCCGACTGGGGATTATTCCTCTAAAGGTTGTGCTGCTTCACTCAACGCGGTTCCAGTCTAATCCCATTTTTTGAAGGGTTTCCTCATAAATGAGGTTCAATCCGCTGCCTCCATCCATGAGTACCTTGGTGAGGCGAAAGCCGTCCACTATTGGACTGAGGACCAATGCGGCTGGTGCTCGGGCTGTTCGGAATTTAGGTTCATCACTTGCGTTGAAGGTAATAGCTGTGTCGCTCCATGGGTTTATTGTTGCTACTTGATAGACTTCGGCAAGGCTGTGGAGTGTTCTTTTTCGCATATTGTTTGATGCGAAGGTCTCGAAGACTACGAGAATGGTACTGGTGTCCTCGGGGTGGTTTTCTGCGGCCTCCAAAATTAAGAGGTCCTCGCCAATTTTGGCCACCTGCCGGAGTATCCAACATGCTCTAAGGCTGTGAGTTGGTGTGGCGTCCTCTGTACTATGAATTTTACAGGGTCCATCGAGCCATCTTTCTAGTACGGTTCCATGCTCTGTAAACGGTTTTGATTTTTTGGTTTTTAACCCAGGTGTCTGATGATGATGCACCCTCTTATTTCGGACGGGATTGCTATTCAGGGCCGGATTATCCCAAAATTTTATTTCGGTTTTCCAGGCGTTTTCCATCGCACAGTACTTTTGTACTATGGACGCCTAAGTCAGCGAAGCGTGTAATATCACGACGACTTATGGCATTGAGGATTCCCTCGTCCATGCAATTACTGCAGAAGATTGAGATTGCGTCTCCCTCACGGCAATCCTTTATCCTGTTCATAACCAGGAGGAATCTGGTCCAGTAATGATGTACTGTTTCCTCGAGCTTTTGCCTGATTTGGGAAAGATCGCTTATGTTCGGGTGGGTGAGTGGCGTTAAATCTGAAACCTCACCCAATCTAAGATTCAGAGGCCGAAGAGCTTCCGAACTCTGAAGTTCGGATTCTTGGATGTTGTCCAATGAGTCTAGCCCGTTGCCTGATTCTAAGCTCAGGCCTTGAGTTACATCCTTCCCTCCGCGGGTATCCGGCTTGGAGGGGTCGGGAATTCGGACGTAGCTAGTCCTTCAAATAGATGAAGGGTCGCCGCACTGCGCCTTTACCACGGCGACGTGGTGGGTGGCTTGGGAGAGTTGATTTCTCTTAGATCGGGTTTAAGCCCAATCTGGTCGTAATCCATAGCGACCCCTAGGGCGGCGATGCGATCCAAGAGCTCGTTTACGAAATAGAGCTCCATTGGATCTAGCTGCTCGACAAGTTCTGAGCTGACGTGAAGGTTGCTTTTGATGACCCGAGAGGTCACCGTCGGCGCAACGGCCGAACAGGCGGTCATGAGGAAACCACCTAGCTGGAGAGTTTGGCCGACAGCCAAGGCTCCCTTAGCGACGGCGCCGTCTTTAAAGACGGGAGGAGGCATCCTTCCTGATTGCGACGGCACAGTGGAACTCTCAATGAAAGCACCAATGTCGGTGTCAAAACCGGCGGATCTCGGGTAGGGGGTCCCGAACTGTGCGTCTAGGCCGGATGGTAACAGGAGACAAGGGACACGAAGTTTTACCCAGGTTCGGGCCCTCTTGATGGAGGTAAAACTCTACGTCCTGCTTGATTAATATTGATGATATGGGTAGTACAAGAGTAGATCTACCACGAGATCGAGGAGGCTAAACCCTAGAAGCTAGCCTATGGTATGATTGTTGTATGATGAAGTTGTCCTACGAACTAAAACCCTCCGGTTTATATAGACACCGGAGAGGGTTAGGGTTACTCAAAGTCGGTTACAATGGTAGGGGATCTTGAATATCCGCATTGCCAAGCTTGCCTTCCACGCCAAGGAAAGTCCCATCCGGACACGGGACGAAGTCTTCAATCTTGTATCTTCATAGTCCTGGAGTCCGGCTGAAGGTATTGTCCGGCTATCCGAACACCCCCTAATCCAGGACTCCCTCACCCGTCGGTCCGACGGTCTCTGCGTGTGACCGCATGGGCCCTTGCAATCAGTCCTACATGACGGGCGCGTCCGGGCGCCCCCATATCCAGCCCAGATAAGAGCCGGACACAGGGAGTGCCAGTCCGCACATTTTGACCGGATTTGCGCGGCGCGGTTGGGTGTGGTTCTTGCGTCAAGGCGGTGACCGGGCCTTCCACCCCGGCGTTTGGGCGGGGTATGTGGGGTCCGGTTATATAGATGCTCTTATATGTAATGCAAAGGCTGTCAATGTCAGTATGACAACCGTGCTGATATAGGATGTAATGGAAACAAAGCTATCTATTCTTCACGATTGAAAAAGGATAAGCAATAAGTGAAACTTAACCAGATAAGACTAAAAGATAGTTACGAAGTAGAAGATACGTTGGCCTCTTGATAAACAAAATGGCTGGCCTCATCTAAAGCATAGTCAATCAATAGATTCAATTCAGTAGAAACAATCATGGGTAGCTGGGAGTAAATGTGGAGGAGCAAATGCTTACAAAAGTTGTTCATCCCACAGATAAAATAAATAATAAAGAAAAACGTTGTGTTTCATCATTCAGCTAGCCTACTAACTCTAGATGTGCATCGTGGCCACTCGCATGAGTATCCTCTGGCCTGGGAATGAAGCAACCTAGTAACTGATCATGAGCGGGGTCTAAGCAGATACTTCTGGCCGGATCCACCTGCACCAACGGCCATGCCCTTGCCGTGGGATCTGAGCGTGTACCTCCGCCGGCCGGATCCCCATGCAGCGGTGGCCTTGCCCTTGTCACGGACACTCCGACGGCGCTTTGGAGGATCTGATGGACCCGACTTGTCATCTTTGTTAGGACCGCGCTTGGGACCACCTCCTCCTTCTCCTCCTCTGTGACCCCGGGGAGATGAAGATGACGTTGAAGGTGGCTGAGGGGGGGCATTGTTCTGGATGAAAGGTAGAATATCTCCGGGCAAAATGAACTGTGAGTGCGTCCCACTCCCTCCGTGTAGAATACCCTTTACCTGGCCAGCGGCGTTGAAGAGAGGGCCTCCCGAGGACCCCTGATCGGATCCAATGTAAGCCTCGAGCAGCTCCATATCATACCCAACTGGGTTGGTGCTCATGCCAGTCAGAAACCGGTGGAGGCACTGAAGGCCCGTGGCGAAGGTGCAGGGACGGAAGGCAGGCCACGAAACGAGCATGCACTGCATGCCAAACTCGCGTGTTCCGTCAAACTGCAGAACCGGGTGCTGCCGTGTGCATTGCACCCTCTGCTGCCCGACGCCCCTCACGGCCAGCTCTGCCCGATCGACGCGCAGCATCATCAAATCCCTCAGGCAGTCAATCCCGCAGACCGTCGCCGGCGTGTAGGTGCGATCCCCGACCATGTTCCTATTAACTGCGAAGTCTCTCTCGGCATGGAAACATGTGACCTCGATTGTAAAGAGCCGGTTCACCGTGGCTGGATCAATTGGCCTGTAGACGGCATGGAACAGATGATCCACAATGTGTGCGGTGGTGAGAATGTAGAGGTAGGCGCCATCTATGTGCGAGGAGATGCCAGTTTCTGTTAGCCACCGTGATGCGAAAATTGCGTTCAGCTGCTCTCGAGTCTTGGAGCCGGCTGCCCCAGCGATAACCCGGGCTTCATTCACCCGACGTCTTACTGGTGTAAACTGGATGAGGAAGACCGATGCTTTGCTTCGTTCAAACACTGGGACCCAATTAACCAAGGGCGTGATATCCTGAGCCTGAGCCTGAGCCTGAGCAGCAGCAACCACAGGAGGCTGAGCAGCAGGATCGTCCATGGCCAGTAGTACTGCAATAAGTAAACAAGAGTTGATGAGTAGGACATCTTGGTTAGGAACAGGAAATGCATCAACAAACAAACAAACAAACTGACTAGCTAACTGTAGAGTAGTACTCGTACGTAGTAGCAAGTTGCAGTTTATTTTTGGGATCAGGAATAGTATTATATCCATTTATTTATCCAAGGCCAATAGCATAACAGCAAAAGGAACTAAAAAACAATTACTCCTATCCATGTAGTACTAGTACCAGCAACAAGCACTTGTTGGATTTGAAAGGGACTGGAGAGAATCTCGTTAGGAAATAAATACTACTCCCTCCGTCCGAAAATACTTGTCATCAAAATGGATAGGGAGTACTCATAAGCAAGCAGAAGTAAGCGCAAACTGAAACAATTCCACGCAGACTGACGGCGGAAGCGACCACATGACATGCATGATTGGAACTCAACAAGACACCATCAAATAGTAGCCGATCGAGTAGCAATATGCCAAGCACCGACCAAAGAAACCTCTCAAAGAAAGAATGGGGATCCGGTCTAGAGAAAGAATCTTGCTCCAGTCAGTAGCATTCCATCTGAAACTCTTTAGTGGAAGTGAAGGCAGCAAACCAAAACCGGAACCTGGGTGAATCCGTGATTCGCCTTGAGGACACGCAAACAAATCGCAGCACTTGAACTTGAAACACAGGTTAGGTTATGACCGGAAGGAAGCATTCCTCCACCAGCAGCTGCAGCAAGTCAAATCGCTGGTCCCAAGAGCAAAACAAAGACGTTTTCGATCTGATGTAGAAACTGCGCATGCACACATGTGGCAAACATCCCATGCAATGCAAGCAAGAACTCGCGCTTAGGGCCGGAATCCAACAACTGGGCTTTGAGAATCGGATAGGAATTAAGCCTTGCCTACCTCGAGCTCGAAAGCAAACACAATGTCACCTCGGGGTAGAATGAACAGCCCGAATGTGCATCCATAAGTAAGAAGAAGAAAACTAGTACTCTCTACAGATCCACGAGATAGGCTTCGGGTACGTACTGCTGCGCGCACAGCGGGGAAGCGACCACATCCACACGCAAAGGTGGGAAGTATTATATACTAGTAGCATCCAAAAAAAAGGAAGGCTTTGGCTTCCAAGCCAAAACTCGGTTCCCCGCTGCCGCTACGCTACAGGTCGGGGGGGCTGCTCCAACCACGACCAACATTCGCGACGAGCGCAAGCCAAAAATCGGCCGGAACCCCCCGAAGCTCCCTCCAACAAAATCACCGGAACCGCACAAGGGTGGATGGCGGACAGGCCCAAAGAGTCGTTGGAATCGAAACCAACAACACCTCCCAAAAACCCCCAAAACCCCCCAAATCAAGCCGCGCGGGGCAAACCCTGTGGCTCTCGCTCCGGGCTCCGGCGCGCGCTAGGCACCGGATGGATCATGGAGGCGCCGCCACATTCCCTTCCCTCCCGATAGGGGAGTTGGTCGGACAACCGCACCCAGGGAGAAACAGATGGGGGGGGAACGGAGCGGACCTGTACCTTGAGATTTTTGGAGTGCTCCTCCCTGCCTCTGCCTGCTCCGGGAAACCTCGCCCTCGCCGTCCCTCGCCCTCCCTCCAGTTTCTCCGGCGGTTTCTCTCAGGTAGGTTCTGCTTGCTAGGCGCCCCCCGGCCCGGTCCCGGACGCGACAGCTATCCGTCCGATTGGACTGGACACACAGAGAGAGAGAGAGAGAGAGCTTCGCTTTGTGCTGTCAAAAAGGCATCGGAGCTCCTTTGCCGGTCAAAAACGGGTCGGGTGGTAAATCTCTTATTGGGTTTTCATTTCACGCGCTGCGTCTCTGGGTGGCCGGGCCCGCGCGCCCGGGAGAGATGTTATTAATAATAAGCCAATAGGAGCCGAGAAGGATCTGCATTCACCCACATCCCTCTCCCTCTTTTTGCTACTACTAGTTCCATTAAATTGTTTTTATTTTTTCCCTAAAAAAATTGTTTTTATTTTCAAAAAACACAACACACACACACACACACGCTCACATCTGTTGGTGCCCCTTAAAAAAATGCAAAAAATGTTAACACGTGCTACAAGTTAGTCTCATCCTATGTGTATTATATAGGATTATTGAAATGCTAAGCTGAAATGTAAATTTTTTATGGTTTATACTTCTTTTCAAAGGTGAATAAACATGGTGCATGCAGCGCTAGACCCAATGGAGATCGTACATGCTGGAAATTCCAAGGTGCCCCATAATTCCATGGTGAGAACAGATGGCTGACTTGCTTACCAAAGCACTTGGCCGTGGCAAACTTCAGGAGCAGCGAGCAAAGATCGGTATGGTGGAGGTTACAAAGATGCACAAGTCTTAGGGAGTGAATGTTGAATAATCCTTGTGCATTTTTTCTGTTTTTTAGTCTTTTATCTTTGTATTCTGCACTGTAGCTCGTCACGCTGTTGTCGTTGCCAGCTGCAAGTTAGTTCAGTTTTTTTTCTCAGTAGACAGTTTTAGATAAGATTAGTTGTCCTGGTCATCGCCTAACGATCCGGGACCGATTCCTGTAGACACATGATGCCGCTCGTGGGATGGCGCAAGACTCACGGATCGTGGGGCTTCACACGTTTGCTTGTAATTCTGAATAAGAGAAGAGAACAATGAGAAAAAAAAAAGTTGCAGACTGAACGCAACGCAAAAACACTCTGTGTCATCGTCTCTGTGTGTTCATCCATTAATCGCGTGTGTGATTCAGATCCTGTGATAACAACCATCAGACAACTAGATTCCCGATCGTCGGGCATGAGTAGGAGAGTACGGATTCTGAAATAAGATTTTTGAGGGGCCAGCCAACAGATTGATGTGAAGCGAAAATTGTGTTGGTGTCTCCGGATTCGAGCAGGACAGCCGGCCAAAGGTGAAGCTCTTTTGTTTTTTTCTTTTCAGAAAAAAAGTGAAGGTCAAGCTCATTTGAGATTAAAAGCGGCGAAGGGATTGGAGTTTGCAAGCGGGGAGCGGCCATGCCTTTTTGAGACGGTAGTAGCCTCCCAAGTGAAAACGTTCCGCTTCTTTTGAGCAACCCACCATCGAGCAGAAAGTCCACGAGCACAAAGCAAGGGGCAACGCCCGTGAACTCCCAGTTTGATGATTGGAGTCGTGGGTGGGCGGTGCCAGATATGGCAGCCCGTTTTCGCCTGCAAAGCAGGAGTTGGAGGTTGGAAAGCATGGGGGTTCTTGTCATCTTCTATCATCTCTGCGGGCCTATTGCCTGCTGCTGTGTAGTACTAGCCAAAGCCTATAGAGCTACTCTGCCGCGCAGGAGCAGCAGCAGCAGCAGCAGCTGAGGCTAACAAAAACTTTGCCTTTTCACATTGTCGCCTTTTGGAGGCATACCACTTCTACACCCCAAACCCCCGTGTGGACGGTGTGTTCAGTGACCCGTCAACAAAAACGGAGTCAGGTGAGTGCAGACTGACCGCCAAACCTTAGGCGGCGAAAAATAGCGGCCTGGGGATGAACCCGCGCTAGATTGGCTTCTGGTGACGACCTAGCTTCCAGCCACGTCCCCAGGCGGCGCCCTCCAAGGCGCGGCAAATTCAAACGAGGTCATTCCTGCTCGCAAAAAACGCCACATATTGCCACAGTTCGGCGATCACAGCGACCCAGTTCGGCGATCATCTTGCCACAGTTCGGCGATCGAATGAAAAGTTCGGCGCACAAAAAAGAAAGGGTGCGCGTACAAAGCGCATCACACGGCGGGGTCGGCCTCCGGCATCGGCGGAGTCGGCGTGCGCGGGCTTGGCGGTGTCGGAGCTGCTTCTGTGCTGGGCGGCATCCGCGCTGCTGGGCGTTGTCGAGGCATCATCGCTCGGGCTTGGCGGCGGCGGCGGCGTGGGAGTTGGCGGCGTCGTCGACGGCAGCTGGTTCAGGATGAGACCGCGCTCCGCCATGAACTACGCCTTGAGCTTCTCGTCGGTGCTTTGGAGTATGTCCGCCCCGCCCATGAGAAACACCAGGTCGGTGTTCCTCTTCTTCGCGGTGTCGTCCTAGGTAGTAAACCCGGGGGACGCGGTGGCGGCGACCGAGCCAGCCGTGATGATGTCCTCCATGTCGGCTTCGGTCGTGTCGACATCGCTGAGATGTGACGTGGAGGCTTGAGAGAAGGGCAGCGCGCCACGGCGGAGAGGGGGTGTCGGGGAGGATGCGTACGCCGGCGGGGAGTAGTTGTACAGGGGGTACTGCACATCGGCGAAGGCGGGCGAGGGCGTGTGCTGGGACTGGTGACCATGGGAAAAGGTGATGTTGGGGTTGAACCCGCCGTGCGCGTCACCATCGGCGTAGCCCGGCGACGGTGTGCAGCCCCAGGGTTGCGGCGACGACGAGAAACCGGCCGGAGAGCCGACGCTTTGCTGGCTCCAGGGCGCGTACGGGTTGTGGCCGCCGGACGGGTTCATCATCACGCGAGTCGCCTCCACCTGCTCCGCCGCCGCCGCAGCCGCGAGCCGCGCCGCGCTGTCCCGGGCCTTCTTGGCGTTGGCCCTGTTCCGCCGGTCTGTGGTGATGGCCTCCCGACGCTGAACTTCAGCCCTCCAGTCGGTGTTGGACATGCCCGGGGGCTTGGACGGCGGCGCCCTCGGCTTCCTCTGCTTCGGCTGAGCGACGGCATTGGTCGCAGCCATCGCGGCGCGGGGGATCACGTACTTCTTCGACGGCATGGCGGCCGGCTGGGAGGGGAGGAAGGAGGAGAATGGCGGGAGGAGTGGAGAGAATGGGAGGGAAAGCGGGAAGAAACGGCGGGAAAAAGCCCTCCTCTTGTCGACGGAGCGGGCCCACGCCCCTTTTTCGCTTGTGCCGGCGCCCCCAGCGCGCCGGGTTCGGCTCGGGCGCGCCAGCTGTTATTTCGGCCCAACCCGGCGAAAAACTGACTCCTGGGGGCGCGACTGGGCCGATTTTCGCCCACCGACGCTAAAAATTCGCCTGGGGAGGGCCTGTTGGGGGCGCGGCTGGAGATGCTCTTATATC